CCCCAAAACCCCAAAACCCCAAAACCCCTCCAAACTTGGTTATTAATGAAAAGTTATAATTTATAATTATCGCCGAAATGGAGAGAATTTCTCCCACAAAAGATCTCATGATAAAGTTCAGCCATTGCTCCACTATTCTTCAGTACTACGGGACCTTCACTGAAGCCATGCGAGTAATCCCATTCCTATGTAAAGGGAGTCTAGCCATGGTCAGAGTTTACTATGAAGCTCTCAAGAACAGACTCAACACAAAGAAAAGTATTCTCAGGCAGAAAGGCAGCTTCACAAAGGAACTAATAAAGTTCCTCCTCGAAGGAAAGAGGCACTTGCTCTATCAGATGGAAATCAAGCTGGAGAAGCCCAAGGAAGTCACTTTGTTTAAGAAGCTTGTCACCAAAACAGAAGAACCTGAAAATGTTAAGTTCAGGTTGATAAATGTTACGTTTTCAGAAACAATAGTTGATGTTGAGATGTATAACTCTATTTACTGGTGCCTTGTGGATCAGAATATTGATCCATCAGGGCTACAGTTTGCTCGGTATGACTATATATTCTCTGATCTTCAGTTAAAGCAAAAGGATGCAAAGTTTGAGTACACCAAATAAAATTGACCACGCAGAAATAATTCCGTATTGAATGTTATATAAAAGAATCCATTATGCAGAGTTTGATACCTCTCCAAAAAATTTGCAGGAACTATTAAACTTAAACATCCCTATCTCAGAGTTGGGACTCAAAATTGATATCTTAAGGGGAGGAAAACAAAAATTGCTTGATTTTGAGAATTTACATATTTATCCCAACGATTTTTCAGGAGAGGAAGAGAGAACTCTCTTCTTCGTCAATCTGAAAAAGGCCTGCTCTTATATCACTAAGCTCATCCTCATTCCTAAGACTACAGGGGATGAGGATCTGAGGTAAGCAGAAACTCATGGATTTTATAAAATTGGAATATCTTTAGGAAATATTTTAGACTTTCATTCATAAATTTTGTTAATTTTAATGACAAATCCTCCATTTAATTTTTATTTAATCAATGGATATAGCTCCCTGGATTGGTTCACTCTAGAAGATGTGCAAGAGATATTTCCAAATGTTCAGAATTTAGAGTATAATTTTAAAATGTTACCAAATTCAATGTGCATTAGATCTGATTCATTCGGTTCAGTAAGATTTCTTGTATTTTCATTTGATGTTTAATTGCTTCATTTTTCCAGACTTTATCTATATATCTTATTTTATCATAAATATAGTCCAGGCAGATAAAATACAGGCCTTCTCCTTCCTTGCTTTGCTCATCATTACTCCAGAATGGATGCAGTTATTCAAGTATTGACAGTGAAAACAAGAATGGCTACATTGTAATGGATGATGTGGACTTCTTTCTTTACAATCCAATCACAGAGGAATACTCTAGCTTCCATTGTAGTAAATACTTTCACACAGTCAATGCCAGGACTTATGATGCTACTCATGAAGAGATAGAGAGATTTAAGAAAAGATTTATTAAAATTATTTCTCCAAGTGGATGGCCCCACATCAGATTTATTGAGTAAGTATGTCTTTTGTATTTGGTGGAATGTGTTTAGAGTCAAATATTTGGAAGGAACTAAATTTGAACATGTATCCAAAGTTAATGCACTTAACTCCCAACAGTTTGAACAAGCGAGAGAAGAGTTTACAGAAGAGCATAAAGAGTACACTGAATTGAATGAACCAATTATGTTCTTCAAAGAGAAAACATTTGATAAGGTTGTTGGGTTAGATTTTCTGATGAAATATCAACCTAGGACTTGCAGAGAAGTATGCATCAAGCTAGAAAATGATTCAAACTTGTCTGAAAATGTAGAAAATTTAAAGATTTTATCATCGATCAAAGTAGTTTCAAAGCTCTCTCTTGAAGTAGAGCTTACACCAGAAAATTGTGAGCTGATTATAAAAGCTCTTAATCACAAGATCCCATACATAACTATAGTAGTTTCAAAGCTGGCTCTGAAAAAGATTCCAAAGGATCTTCGTAAAAGAATTTCCTCTGGATTGATTTGTCATAAGTCTCTAAAATCTCTCAGTTTTAAGTTCAAAGAGAACAGTGGGGTTCAATATTATAATAGGTAAGATCTATAAGCTTATCTTCACTTTAGAGCTCACTCAAAAGAAAGCAAGTTTAAGTTCAAGAAATTTGTTGAAAAGATACTTCTAACTTGTAACCATGCTACAGAGAAGATTAGTCCTTGGAGCCAAGTTGAGTTGACAGATTATTAAATTAAGAAAATTTATATTTTATTCAATCTTAATTACCCTGATGGGGTTTTGGGGTTTTGGGGTTTTGGGG